GACATCACAGCAATAGCAAACCACAACGATCCAAGCAATTCCCGATAGACAAAATTAAGCCCCGCTCTACATTTTTCTATTTCATGCAACCGTTTCACTTGGATATACATCACAATAGGGAAGAAAAGACTCTTACCGTTTTTAACAAGCTAACTTCAAATTATACCTTCACATTCAAATATTCATTTTAGGAGGCAAAGAACAAAGTAACTCAGCATCCCCAAAAACAGACGCAGGGTGACAGGAGGACATGAGAAACAGTTTGACAGTGTTAATGTGAAACACACTTTCTGCATTTTGTTGTTGAATTGACCCCAGATGGACCTGGCAACCTTGTTTTGAGTTAGAGTGGGGCACACATGTCCTTTTGAACTGAGCTTGTGACTTGTGATGTTGCAGTTGTGTTACAAACACGTTCCAATTTTTATCCCCAGTGATTTTTGGTTTCAAGATTTTAACGTGCAGTTCCTGTTATGTTGCATAGATATCTAGGTCCATGTGTCTTCATGGTTCTCTGGCTTTTGTGCCTAATTGTGTTTACTCAGTTGACACCGAAATAAATCGTTAACCTCTGTACTGAGTTCAATGATTCGTTCTGACAGAATCTTTAAAGACATTCTATACAATTTACAATGCTATTAAAAAGTGTCATACATTTTGTCCATATAACTTTATAGTTATAGTCTGAATTATATATATATATATATATATATATATAAGTATATTATATACTTATATTATATATAAGTTATAGTCTGAAGAAATACAATGTAATAGTGCAAAGGTCAAGGTGTTATTTACTGATAATATTTACTTCTATTGTACTGTTTAAGTTTTAAATATAAGTTGTATGGACCACATTTATGATTTTTTAATAACATTTGTTGTGCTTCTTCCTTCATGATTTCATTAATGAAACCTTCTTTCATTATTTTGTACAGAGTGATGTTAAAGAGATGTGTAAAGTGTCTGAAGAGTGAAGATATTCTTTAAAAAAAAAAGAAATCCTTTTTTGTGTTCCACAGATAAAAGAAAGTCATACGGGTTTTGTGTGATGAGGGTGAGTAAATGATGACCGAATATTCATTTTTGGTTGAACTATACCACTTTTGGGCCTTTATATCACTCAGAATTATCCTGGTCAGTTTTTTATTTTTATTTTAAAACTCTAGGTCTCATACACTTGCAGACTTTGTAAATGCTTAAAAAAAACACAAAAAAAACGGCATCATACAATAAACAGCTGAGGATCACACACTACCAGACTTTCAAGTCATTCCGAACATCATAAACACACATGTGCCTCGTTGCTAAAAGACGCATGACAAATTAAAATGAATTGTGTTTTAAAATCAGCTCAAAATATCACACACGTTTGATACTAAAATACTGGGTCTGTGCATAAACAGACATTCTCAGTTGCCCTCAGTTGCGCATCTTGGTCTGACTGTGAGATTAAAGGAGATGCATGTGCCTCTTTTCACTAACGAAAGGGAAAGAACAGAGTTAACACACAATTTCATTGAGTGACAACACCAGGGGAACTTGCTTGTTCTCTTACACTGATTCACACGGTCTCTTTAAGCCCTTGCTAATGTTCTATTGGTTCCAGGGCCACAGTTTGATGAGGTTTGGTTACATTTATACATGCTATACAAGGTCTTAAAATGGGCTTTGGAAACAGTGGAAATGACCTGGCTTGATTTTTATAGGCAAAACACAATGATTCATCCTCTATATCAGGTAATGTACTGTAAACTGTTGTGGCTAAACTGCATCCACTAGCTGTAATGCAAACCAGATTAGCGGCTGAAAGCCATCAGACCTCACGGTGACCCTTATATTCCGGCTGTGGTCTGTGTAATCAAAGTGAATTGGGATATGCTGATGATTTTCAGATAACAATCTACCTATCTGTCATATATAACTCGATTTGAGGAATCATGAGCTCTACATTGACGGCTGATCAGTGACTGACGTTATAGTTGTCCAATGATTCATCAGAGCTTGTTCTTCTCAAGAATTGTTTATATTGGTAAATACGTGTGAGCAATGTTAATTGTTTTATGGAAAAGTGGATCATCCGTAGTTATTTCTGGGATATGTGTCTGTGGAAACATTCCCTTTAACTGTTTTATTTGTATATGATTTGAAAACATGTGGGTTTGATTTATCCTTTAATCGTGTGTGTGGCCCTAATGGCGATTAGTCACTGTACCCTTATTTCCACTGTCATTTCCTTCAGCTTCAATACCGTTTGCCAACTCAGAATGGATTCATCGTGAATAAGTAGCACTGGTGAGTCATGTTACACTGACAGACCGTGCTCCCCTCAGTGTGTCCTTTGTGCACTTCCTGTAGAACAGGAAGTGAAAGTTGTTTAATGTAATCTACAGTTAGCACAGCCAGGTTTGTGTGTATGACCTTCACAGGTGTATATTAGGATCTCTCTCTATTTCATTCCCCGTGACCTCAGTTTGAAAAGGTGTTGGCGTTGTTTGTGTTATTTAAGAGCTTTGGTCAAACATCGGTGATTGTGTATAGGCCTATGTAAGCCTACTTTGAATTGTATAATGCTTATACAAGGCCATAATGCTGTGTCACAAGGTCCCAGGGTCAAGGAGTAGCCTATCAGATTCATATTATAGAGCTGAGCTGATTAATTTGAAACTTCTTTTGAAAAAGTATAAAGAGCTGGACTGGTGTTTAAATTGCAATTATTTTATTTGGTGTTCCTTCATTCTTCAATTGTGATAAATTTAGTTTTTAAGCTTAAAAAAAAATCATTGGTATATGTGTCCCCCAACTTTAAATTTAAAACTTTCGTAAAATTTAATTAAAATATAACTCGCTCTTCCTCTGAAATGAGTTTTCAATAACTAGCAATAACATAGCAACATTTCATGAATCTTCCAACACCTTCAACCCATCCACTTTAATAGGCTTCTGGAATAAATCTGGTAATTCCAGGCCCCTCAGGACCTTGCGTCACTGCTAATTCTCTCACAGTTCATCAAGATGTGAACTTGCTTACTCTCTAAGCTGTAAGTCTGTGCCCATTTAGCACGTATTTCCCGGCGGGAACAGTGACACACGATTAACTATATCAGATTTATGTAGTTTAATAGATACAAATTATTTTATTCAGAATAACTACACCTGGTCTCTATTTGATATACGAAAGGGATTATTTCCATATTTTTTTTTTATCCCACTATGGAAACATGGTAAATAATAGCTACATGCTAGATGTATGACAGCGTGCGCTGGAATCAGAGATTGAGACGTTCTCTCTGTCTCCGCTAGGCGGCAGTGTGTAGTTGAGAGACGCATCCAGGTTGACAGCGGCAGACATCGTGCGCGAAAGAATTTCTTAGGAAAATATCATAAAAAAAGACAGAAATCCCTTGCATTTTACAGCGCAAACTCGGGACAGGTTTACTTTGGCTTAGTAAATAGATAGAAAAGTAAAAGTAGAATGCGTAAGCTTGCAGAGGTCGCACTATTTCAAACAGACTGAAGAAATTAATAGATGGTTTTAACTTGTAGACACGTGCTCTCGAGCTCTTCGCATTTATCTTTTTTAAACGAAAGCTCGACTCACTTTTATTTAATGCGTTCGAGAATTGTTACGCTTCAAACAAGTGAACAGAAAAGCCTATATGACGAGCATCCCTTCGTCTCTACCTGTCTCATCCTGGGCATCATCAAATGTGCGCCTCAGGAAGCAGACTTGAAGAGGGTGAGTGAAACAGCTGGAGTTCTGCTCTGCAATGCTCGCCTCATGTGCTGAGAATCATTACATAAATGTCCTTGAGTGATTGCTATCATAAGGTGTCCGTAATTGAAACCACGTCCCAGCTGTATTAGATGACTCCAGCACAAATCGGTCACTCGGTGCGCTGGTTAAGCAGAGTCTGCTCAACACAAGGGCAGGGGGATTCATTTTACATATTAGACAGACAGACAGACAGACAGACAGATAGATAGATAGATAGATAGATAGATAGATAGATAGATAGATAGATAGATAGATAGATAGATAGATAGATAGATAGATAGATAGATAGATAGATAGATAGATGTTTTAATAGTTTTTAAATGTTTCCGCTAAAGTTAGAGCGCTCACGAAAAGAAATCGCGCCAGACTGAGGTAACCGCAGCATCATTAGCACTTTGTGTTAGGGTCATTTGATATAAGTAACAATATGATTGTTTTAAATACTGTTTTAAATAGGATTGTTTTATGTGTTTTTTTTTATTGTTAAACGTGGGCGCCACAAGACAGCTAGCCTATGGTTGTACGAAACGCATCTATTTTTTTTTTATAGAAATTCTTTTTAAAACGTCGACACCTGAAAGCTATAGAGAGATAGAAAGAAAACAAATAACTAATGAATGAGTCAATGTATGAATCACTGTATGAATACTCAAAGGATTAACATTGTGCATTACAGATGCGCATTTGAACAGTCATGTTAGAAATCATAAAAACTGATATTGAACATATGGTGTGGTATAAGATCAGGTAACATTTTTAAACTTTAAACTTTTTTTGTGTGTTGTGGTTTTTCGAACCAAGGGTTTAAATCCATGCTGCATAATCAATGTGTGACGCATCATTAAGCGCATATGATATATGTATAATCCGCGAGTGGCAGGTGATAATTCCTCAATCGAATGAGATGTGAAGTATTGCAAGTCTCTCTCTCTCTCTCTCTCTCTCTCTCTCTCTCTCTCTCTCTCTCTCTCTCTCTCTCTCTCTCTCTCTCTCTCTCTCTCTCTCTCTCTCTCTCTCTCTCTCTCTCTCTCTCTCTCTCTCTCTCTCTCTCTCTCTCTCTCTCTCTCTCTCTCTCTCTCTCTCTCTCTCGGCTCTCTTCCAGGTCCCGCACGCTCCAGCGCCCGGCCCGTTCACTTTTCACCCCGCCTCAGTTCGGTGGGGTGGGGTAAGGGGGGAGCCGCTTGCACCCTGGCCGAATGCCGCCTCACTGCCTCCGCTATATAAACACACATTGGAAGCTCGCTGTGCGACTCGAACTCACATTGAGAAACTGTATGTGAAGAGAGAGAGAGCAAGAGCGCAAGAGAGAGGTAGAGAGTGAAACCGCATCAGAAAAGGGCTAGCGAGACGCACTACAGTCATCTGAAGATTTTACTGCTCATAGGCATCAAACTTCGGAGGATTATTTCTTTCATTTATTTCTGCGTCTTCCTTATGACCATTACTTGAAATTGAGTGCATTTAAAGAGATTATATCGAGTTTTCCTGTAAAATATTTTTAAAATAATAACTAAAACCAATGTATTATTATTATTATTATTCAAAAAGTAATTAAAAGAGTTTGGGATTTAAAACAAAATTTTCAACTCAAGTTTGACAAGTTCACTCCAAATTTACATTTTTAATTTAAAATTCACGGGAATATTGGACAGCGATTTACAAAATCTAAAATGATATACAAACATTTAAGATCGATTTGTAATATCCAGCATTCTGTTAATTAAACACTTCAATTTATTCATTACAGAACTTTGTTGCGTTGCCTTTTGGTGAGAGAATCTGCTCAGCTATTTTTGCTTTTCAGAATAATTGTAGCAGCAAATCATATCTAACACAGTAAGTCACTCATATATCCTACTCCTGAGAAGGCTTAACCACTGTAGTGCTCATCACTCCAAAGAGGTCTTTGAAAACAGCCCCCGGACGTTCACAGCCATGCTCTTCGAGAGTTTTGACCTGGTCTCGGCGCTGGCGACGCTGGCTGCGTGTTTAGTGTCTATGGCACTTCTTCTGGCCGTGTCCCAGCAGCTCTGGCAGCTGAGATGGACCGCAACACGGGACAAGAGCTGCAAGCTGCCCATGCCCAAGGGCTCCATGGGGTTCCCCATCATTGGAGAAACATGCCACTGGTTCTTTCAGGTAAGAGCTCCATCTCCTTGTGTCTTTCCAAGTTTCCAATCGCTTTGCTGTCGCACGCACACTGCTGAGGTGCGCGCCAAGCACCGCGGGTTGGTGCGTTCAGTGCATAATAGTCTCCATGTAGGTAAATGGATTGTTAAAGACACATAAAGAGTAGGATAACGTCCACTAATGCTTTTCGCACGTGTGTGCTCGTGCGTAATATTGCGCGTTAAAAAGAACAGCCTTTAGGTTAGTTATTCCCACGTGTGCAATTTAATCCGTGCCATATTTCCATGGTGTTAATAAGCTGTCTGTTTTAGATAGCCGTCAGTTTTTGTTTCATACAGCCAGTACTCAATCCACGTGGAACAACCTGTTTGCGGCTGCCAAGAAAGCCGCGCTCAGTTCCAGAAATATTGTAGTCCTTGGCTTCCGATGCGCGCGAGAACACAGCCACTGAGCCCCGCTTGTCAAAGCGCGCATAAACTCTCCTTGGCGCACGGGATGAGATTGATTGCGAGGGCAGGTAGTGTCGCGCTTTCATTGAGTTTCTGTGTAATTACGCACGCCGGTTACTAGAAGAGCCAGCGTGTTGTGAATGATGCCGTGCCGTTCTGTCATAATACCCAGACAGCGCGTAATGCGCATACTGTACATGCAGGGTATCTAAAAATCAGCCCAGTGGCCATAATATGTGTGTGTGTGGTTTTTAAAAGTAGTTTATTACACGACCGTAAGCTGTAAAGAAAAAAAATACATAAAGTAAAAATCATAATTAAATGTCTTTCTATATTAAATCCATGGTGCGCACAGGGATGCTCCTGGACATTGGCTTGCAGTAGCTAGAGTGGGTTGCTTAAAACTGAGATTTTCTGAGATTCAATAGGGAGGAATGTCCTGGTCTGAGTGGTGTACAGATCAAATTCTCTGGTCAGGAATAGATTCTACAAACTTGCTGGAAATCCAGAAGAGAATTTCCGTGCAGTTGGCAGGCTCTCTACAAAAATATACAGGCTTGACTGCATCTCAGAGGTATATTTAAAATGTAAAATATATTTAAAATCAATAGGATTTGGACTGGTCCATTTGTGGCAAACTTGTCATTCCATATTTCTACAGCTCAAGGCATGCGGGACTGCGAGGGGACTGAGAGATGCCATGCAAACGTGCAATTTGAATTGTTGATATCTCTCTTTGTTGTGCTTCTGAAAACATGCACTGCTTTTACACCATCCATGTATATCAATACATCTAAGACACCACAATAACTTTGTCGGTTAGCCCCTTTTTTGGTTCATATATCTCTGTCTGTCGCCTCAAGACTCCGCAAAGCAGCAGCTGAATCCATAAGTGGGTCAAATGTGTGATTGACATAGATTTATGGACTTTTTTGCGTTCTCTTGCGGTATGTCTGCCGTTATGAATTCTGAAATGATTTTGTATTTTGTCTGTGTATGAATTCTTTTCAGATGACCACAAAAAATATCTGGTCAGAACTTTCTTACTTTGTCCCCTTCTCAACTGTGCTCCAAGTTTTGGCTGAAATGGAGCATAAAATTAACTAGGACTATGCCAGGGCCATTACTTTTTTTGTAGGCTGATTTAGTGAGTTATAGTGAGTTCAGATTGAACATTAAGATAATAATGATAACTATGAATTCATGAACTCCTTAATGAATTATGCACTGGTTTGCATTAGTAGCGATAACTCCTTGATATTGCACAGTTCACCCAGTGGGCAACCCTCCCTTACCCTTACCCCTACCCCTACCCCTACCCCACGTCTCCACCTTGACCCAAATCACTCCAGTCTGGGTGGCAATAAAGCCGCCCACCAGGGGGTCAAAAACACACCCACACCCTTGGACAAAGACTACACGGCTTGGGGCTCTGATCAGAATTCCAGAGAGCATGGCCTATACAGACCTAGGGGATTTAGGAACAGTTTTCCAGCATCCCCTCTCTCTCGCTTTCTGGCTCTCTCCTGGGGCTTGTCGGGATTAGCGAGCATGAAACGGGCATGACTGGCACCAGTGCGGTGTGGCCCCTTTTTCACCTCTGGAACGCACCACCAACCCCTCAAACAGCCTCTTGTCTTTAGGAACAGGGGACAGGGGGTGAAAGCGGAGGGGGCTTGGCAGCAGTAGTGGGAGGAGGAGGAAGGTAGGGGATAGAAAAGAGAAGAAAAGGGGGTCCCCGGGGTGAGCGCTCACACTGCACTGAACAACCATAATCTCTCTCCACAAAGTGTTTCCAGGTCAAAGGGGAGCCCATTCTCTCAGCTTGCCACATTTAGGTTCTTTGCGCTTAATTGTCTCTTGGGCTTTGCCGTTCGTTCGGCATTAAGCTAGATCATTTCTCTCTGGTCCCGATTGCTGACTCCAACTGCATTGCCGAAAATTCCCACATCTCCTCTCGTTTATGCATAGTCATGTGTCCCCAAGCACACCCTCTTTGGTGGGTACACCCAAGGCTGACTGATGGGACCTAAAGTCTTACTGCTTCTGCTCGCTCTTCCCGCCCTCTCTTTGCAGAAATGCTGTCTATACCCTAATGGAGACGGGCCAATGCACACATCCTGAGAGATTCCAACGGGCTATTTCAGTAAATGGACATATTATCTTTATTTACGCTGAGACTGTGGGTCAACGTACGGAGAACTCCCCCCGTGCAGTTACCTGCCGCTCTGAACTAATAAACACAGCAGCCCCCAGACTAAGCCCCAACCCAGCCCCCAACACACACATACAGAAGGATCTAAGGACAAGGGTCAGAATAATGAGTGATAGAAATAAAGAGCACAGAGCTAAACGATGTGCCAAGCTAAACTTGCCGTACACTTTTCAAATCCCCCTGCTCCATCTATCTTTCTTTTCTTCTCGTCTTTCTTTATGGCGGCCGTACGCTGAAGAAACATATCGGGGTGATTCAAACTGTAGATGAAATTGCACCCCAAAGTCCCTCGCGTAGCACCCCTGTGTTTAGATCAACCGTAGCTGATCTGAATAAATATAATTAAAAGGGTTTTTTGTGATTTTAATAAAGGGGTCATTTGTATAACATTTCCACTGGCACACAAAGGCTACATTTATGTAGCGGGAGGCTCGACTGGTGTCCAATTTACACAGAAATTTGTATTTTTAGTCCTGTGTGGAATGGGCCAGTGGAAAAAAGCGGTCCTCTTTATTGCGCCCCCTTGTAAAATATCTGATAAATTTCTTTTCAAAATAAAAGAAACTATTGAACGTGGCGAGTTAACCCTTTCACCACCAGAGGCACAGAACAGGCATGTTTTGTGTGGTGTCGAAGATCACATAACTGAACACACATGTAAACACTTCTGATTTGTTTAATTGCTTTGAAATACAAGAATCTGGTATTCGTTTAGTCAGTTTGTTGTCTAATTCATTCGTATTTTAAGGCTTTTAATACATCAAGGATAAAAGTGACAAAAACTATGCAGCTGCACGAGCTTCTGACACAGATGTTCTCCTCCCAAGAGCCCCAAGTGACGTTTGACATGTGTTTCGCGGTCCAAATGACTGTGGAAAGCTTTTCGGTCTTATCGCTGAAGATCATCTAACCTCACCCTCTAACGGAGAGCTTGAACCCAATCTGCCTTCGCTCAAAACAAACAGGCTTTAATTTGAGTGACAGCCGATTTTACTTGGTTTTTAAGAAAATTTGCTCATACAACAAAGTGACTATACTGTAACCGTGCATGCGTGCAGAAGTGGACGGACGCACCGGCCGCATTCGTGTTTTTGACAGTGCAAGTAAGCTGCAGATTATTACCTCATTGCTTTTCCAGGGTGTGTGGAGATTTTGTGCGTCAGTGACCCTTTTGGGTTTTTTGTTTTATTTTCGTTCTTTGCACGTCTAAGCTTCTGTGGCCTTGTGAAATGAGGGAGGACATTTCTCACCTTCTAGCCAAATGACATCTGCACAGCCAAGCCCAGCGCGTTTGTCTCCACATTTTGCCTCACGACCTGTTCTGCTATTTCCAGCCCGCCGAGTCACTTTTCTATGAAGTAGACTGTGAACATTAAACCATTCTAATCACACTTTCTTTTGTACACCTCACTTTCATTCACTTCCAAGCTAGAAAACCATGATATTTTCCCATCTTCTATCTGTCTTTTGTACTTTCCACTTGTACTACACAGGTCAGGACTGGATCCTTTCTGGCTGCCCTTCTGTGTACACTTGTTTAAGAGGGAACCGTTGGCCCCTACATGTGTAAATACACACATGTAGATGTGAGAAATGTATATGTGTTTTTGGTGATGTAGTGTGTGACCATACATTGCACGGTTTCACTACTCCGGGAGAGGTGGAAAAAAGGCTCTGGCCTGGTAAGGATGACAGCATGTGGTGTTTAAAATGGACGTTCTTGTTCCCAGAATGATCAAACACACCAAGTTCACGCAGGTTACACATGACGTCAAAATAGAAATCATCTGAAGGGGAAATATGACAGAACAAAGACCATAAACAAACATAATATAATACAAATTACAAGTTCGCTTGTGCATAAATGTGTTTATACACAGAAATCAACAGAGGTAGAGATTTAGCCAGTGCCCTCATGTTGGGGCATGTGTGAAAGATGGCCTTGTCCTGGGTCTGTCAGGTTAAAAACGGCTCCTTTCTTTCTCTCATACTGACAGGTCCCACTGCTGAGGTGAGCACACACATACACACACAATCATCCATCATCACACAAACTCAGTTCTCACCATGTGGTGAAAGATACTACATTTATTTTCCCCCCTCTTCCCCTGCATTGCTTTTGGATGTGTGTCTGTGCATGTGGTTGTTCATGTCAGCATTACCTCTTGCCCTCACACTCACCTGATATGTGAAATCCTCAGTGTCTTTAAGTATTGCCTGGCTGTGAGCTGGCCAGTGACTATTTCTCTCACCCCACACTGTGCACGCAGTGCCTGTGCCTCCTGTCTAACACCTGGCGAGGTCCCGGGATGCCATGTGTCTGTTTGGCCATGGTCAGAGTTTCTCTGGGGGAAACTCCGGTCATGCTGTTTTAGAAAAACAATCTAAAAACATTTCTTACTGACTTTTCTGAAGTTACGATTGGTCGGTTATGATTCTAGAATCTGGAATTCTTTCACCTCTTCCTGATGAGGAACCAAAAAAGGCTTTGGATATAATATAATCCTGCCAAAACTATAAAACCCAAAAACAGTCATTTGCTGGAAAATTTCGTGAAAACTGAGAAAGAGAAGTGTGAAAGTGTGAAATATGGTTTAAGTTGTCCAGTACTGCAGGATTTACAGCCATATATTCTCCCACATGTTCAGCCAGGTCGGGTTAAACTTTAGCTGTTGAAAAAGTGAGACTTAATCCTCTTTTGTCTGACCTTGTCTAACCTTAATGTGCATATATCTTGTTAGTTTGATTTTATAGTCTCACTATTTAATTAAGCTGATAATTTGTTGTAGGATTTTAGGGGCACATGCGGCTCATAAGACATTTGCTAAGTCTTCTGAGATCTCAGCCAGTCATGTGCTAAGTTTGACATTTAAGGTCTCTGACAATATGGAAGTGCAAGCTCAAAGGTGAGAAGAGAGTATAAGAGCATGAGTGAGATCAAGCAAGATAAGTCAAGATGGAAAACTAAAGCATCCGCTGCCAGATATTAGGATGACTTATGACAGACGTTTTTCCGTTATTAGATGTTTGGAAAAAAAATAAGAATGCAATGCATTTTAGATGATGCACGTACATTTACTTTCTTTATTATTTGCCGGCATATGTTATAAAAAAGTTCAAGGCCAAGGCATCATTCATGAACTAATCTGTTTATTTGTTTATATATAGAGGCGAGAAACCCAGCCTCAGACCACAAATACACAAAAAGGGGTGGAACGCTTATTTGCCCATCTCAAAAGAGATTGGTTACTGGACTGACGGCACAAAGGAAGGATGTTGGGAAGTGCTTGTCCTCAGAGTTAAAGTAGCAATATGCACAGGGCCTGTCCCTTATATTTAAGACCAGGAGATGGTGGTAAAGTCAGTGTGACATGAGCTTCTCTGTCCATACATACACTCACCTAAAGGATTATTAGGAACACCTGTTCAATTTCTCATTAATGCAATTACCTAATCAACCAATCACATGGCAGTTGCTTCAATGCATTTAGGGGTGTGGTCCTGGTCAAGGCAATCTCCTGAACTCCAAACTGAATGTCAGAATGGGAAAGAAAGGTGATTTAAGCAATTTTGAGCGTAGCATGGTTGTTGGTGCCAGACGGGCCGGTCTGAGTATTTCACAATCTGCTCAGTTACTGGGATTTTCACGCACAACCATTTCTAGGGTTTACAAAGAATGGTGTGAAAAGGGAAAAACATCCAGTATGCGGCAGTCCTGTGGGCAAATATGCCTTGTTGATGCTAGAGATCAGAGGAGAATGGGCCGACTGATTCAAGCTGATAGAAGAGCAACTTTGACTGAAATAACCACTCGTTACAACCGAGGTATGCAGCAAAGCATTTGTGAAGCCACAACACGCACAACCTTGAGGCGGATGGGCTACAACAGCAGAAGACCCCACCGGGTACCACTCATCTCCACTACAAATAGGAAAAAGAGGCTACAATTTGCAATAGCTCACCAAAATTGGACAGTTGAAGACTGGAAAAATGTTGCCTGGTCTGATGAGTCTCGATTTCTGTTGAGACATTCAGATGGTAGAGTCAGAATTTGGCGTAAACAGAATTAGAACATGGATCCATCATGCCTTGTTACCACTGTGCAGGCTGGTGGTGGTGGTGTAATGGTGCGAGAATGTTTTCTTGGCACACTTTAGGCCCCTTAGTGCCAATTGGGCATCGTTTAAATGCCACGGCCTACCTGAGCATTGTTTCTGACCATGTCCATCCCTTTATGGCCACCATGTACCCATCCTCCGATGGCTCCTTCCAGCAGGATAATGCACCATGTCACAAAACTCGAATCATTTCAAATTGGTTTCTTGAACATGACAATAAGTTCACTGTACTAAAATGGCCCCCACAGTCACCAGATCTCAACCCAATAGAGCATCTTTGGGATGTGGTGGACCGGGAGCTTCGTGCCCTGCATGTGCATCCCACAAATCTCCATCAACTGCAAGATGCTATCCTATCAATATGGGCCAACATTTCTAAAGAATGCTTTCAGCACCTTGTTGAATCAATGCCACATAGAATTAAGGCAGTTCTGAAGGCGAAAGGGGGTCAAACACAGTATTAGTATGGTGTTCCTAATAATCCTTTAGGTGAGTGTATATTCTGAAGAACCTCCCGGAAATATGCAGTTTGAATTTCACAATCTTTGCTCATGGGTTCTCAGTTCTGAACATCAGTGATATCATTTGAGCTGTAAATGTCATAAAAGCCCTCCATATGGAAATCTGTCAATGGTAATACATAAATAAAAACATCAGAGTATGAGTATACATAGCCATTAATGTAGAAAGCAGAAAGATGCCTATTGTTTGCAGAATGGTGTAGTTACGGTATCTACCAGCAGAGGCTAACTGGATTCTTGCATTTGCTCTATTCTTTTTTTTTCTCTGTGATAGCTACTGGAATGAATTTACTTGTTGTTTAACCCCATGGTGTTTGTTTTAGTGTTTTTTGGTTTAAATACCCTGGTTGGCTATTCTTTTCACATTTGGACTGAACAAGCATTAACACACAGAGGCATGGACATAGCATGCTGAGGTAAAGTGTATTCAGAGTAGTTTCTCTCAGCCAAACAGGAAAAAAGCCTTGCATGCTGCTAAATTTATCCCTGAAAATAAGAGTGTGAGTGTTGGAGTGTGCTTGATGAAACTGGTCACAAAATTTGGTAAGGGGAGGGGGAGGGTGGCAAGGGGAGCAAACAGCTCTACTGCCACTTCCTGCCATGGGGTCAGTATGTGTGTGTGAGGCTGAGAGGTTACAGGCCGCCTTTATGTGCTCAGCAGAAGTCTCGAGGGCTAGAGACAATTACGGTGTGTTATACGGAGCAACTCACTCCAAAAGCTTAGAGTTTTTATCATGTTTGTAACTACTGAACTTGAATGTGCTTGAATGACAATAAATTAGAATGAACTTGAATCACTATAAATTAGTTTTACTGTGTAAAAGAATGCATTAAATTATGTTAATACAGCATCAACGTTGCAACATTTCAGTCAGGCAGATGTTATGGCTACACTTAAAGCATGGGCATGAGACACTATCAGTATTCAGGTTTATGTGTCCTCCCCTGAGAAAGCCTGAAGTGTGTTGCTGTAACACTTTAAACGTCACATTCAGGTTTTTGGGGTAATCACTCTGCTTGTTCTTAAATTTTAAGTAAGTTTGCTGTATATGTACTGGATTCCTCGCTGATTAGCACATTCAGACAAGCCAACTTCTCAGAGCTAATGGCTGCGCTCATGTACTCATTAGATAATTTCTCTTAGCAAAGGCTCTGATCCTAAAGGCTAAGCTTGAGCCCCTTCTTAGCTAAAGCTAACCTTACTGCATAAAGAATGCTGTGAATGGGACCCATATGCCCTTACAATACAAAACAAACAAGAGGGCTAATCCCACAAGGCTAACACCCTTCATTCCAAATACCTATTAGCCCTAACACCTCATTACATCTGTAATATTCAGACAGAAATCTCTTAGCCTACAGTGTTGTGTTCAATTTAAAGGGTTATTGCTAGGCTAAAGGTTAATTATTCAATTGGAACTACAAAGGTAAAAATGCTTTTGCTGACGGCTGTGGTTGGCAGAAAAAGCGCAGCGTCAAGGTTTCGGGTATGAGGGTGACACCATACTTTTCATACTTTTTTAACGTACTAAAATCATAATATTTACAATATTGTACAGTACTGAAGGATATTGTCTTCTGAAAATGAATTAAAAGGTAAATTATACTCTTGAAATATTTAATTTTATATAATATATATAAATTAAAAATATATATAATTTATAATATTTAAAATATAATTGTAATTTTCTTTTTACATACAGTTCACCAATTAACATCAAATGAAATGTATCCGGTCCATTTAGCAAATATGACACTCTAATATAACACAATTTTAACTGTAAACAACATTTTGCATTCAAACATTTTGTCTCCTCCACTATTAAATGCCTCTGAGTATCTGCAACTAATGTATTTTCTGCTTCTCTTTTTCAGGGTGCAGGTTTCCATGCATCAAGGAGGCAGAAGTATGGGAACGTATTCAAGACCCACCTGCTCGGGCGGCCGCTGATCCGGGTGACGGGGGCAGAGAATGTGCGTAAAGTTCTGATGGGAGAGCACAGCCTGGTCACTGTGGACTGGCCCCAAAGCACCAGCACTCTACTGGGTCCCAACAGTCTGGCCAACTCTATAGGAGACATCCACCGCAAAAGGAGAAAGGTCCATATCCAGTTGTTTACTGCTCAAATGTAGTTTTATTATGTGTGGGAACCATCCTTATCTCCTAATGGATGGTTTTTGTGTGCTCCATTTCCCTGCCTTGCCAATGAAAAATGTTTTGAATTAGTGAAAGGACAAAACAGAGAGTAAGAATGAGAGATGGAGTGAAAGAAACAAGATAGAAGGTCAAATGGAAATGGTCTGCCATCCATAGGTCCAGATTTGGAGATAGATACCCACAATGCCTTGCTCCTCTGTTACGCATAACATTCTGCTCACAATGACCACATGGAGGATTACGCTCATAACTAGCTTCTCCTCAAATCCAACCCATTGTTCTGGGACAAAATAGCTTTTTTGTAGACCATGGTCCTCTTCAGTCACTTGGAGGCTTGAGTTTCACCCCACACACCTGTTCCATTGAAGGGTCAGCGGGGTGTAATCAGTCTGGCTAATCCTCCAGGTCCCGGGCCTCATGCAAACTCCCTAATGACTGCTAATTAGTCAGCCTGCTTCAGACGGACAAAGACTGCCTTATGGACCCCCTTCAACCAAGTTTCAATGTCCCGCTTTGCACACTAATGTCATAAGTGTATTTTCGTTTGTTTTTCAACCTCTCTGGAGATGTACAGAATTCCATATTTTTGACTGGATGGGTACTTTCATCAACAAGTTCTCCCCCTAAGCCCTCTGGGACATCCCGATCTGCCCCTTTGAAGACTATTGCTACACATTTACACGTACTAGAGAGATGCTGGGTGCAAGCATTGGATCCAAATGGCCCCAAGAGCTCTGGATGTAGCTAGTGACAAAAGTTAAATTTAATGTTAAACTGTCCCTAACAAGATGCACAACAGTTCACTGATTAATATCAGATACAACCAAATCAGACCTCAAAAAGTAGCCAGAGAGCAGTAGACCTATCAAACAGTGGTTTTGGTAGGAATTTGGTAGAATTTATTAGGTTGGCCAGTAGAGGGCACAGGATCTTAATTCTACACTCACCTGCCTACACCAAAGTGCTCTCCCTGTGAATGAGAGATTTTGTTTTAGTCAGCGGGGGAGAGAAAGAGAGAGAGAGAAAAGAGAGAGAGATTGGAAAAGCAGAGAGAAGTGTAAAGAAAGTGAATGGTTTGGGGGAGAGAATAAAGAGGTCTTTACATTCTGGTCAAACCAGCAGCTTTGAGCAGTTTCATATAATTTAAGACATATGGAAATTATTAGGGTGGGGGAGTTTTAAAAGGCCGTGTGTGTATGTGTGTGTGGAAAGTGCAGTACAAGAAGTCACGTTTTGTAATGAAGACAGGCGGCTGTTTTTTTTCCAGTAGTGTTCTAAATCCTGTATAATGGGGACTGGCATTAGTGGAGCTTGACTGACGTCTGTCTACTACGCAAAGAATCGCAATAGGAAAATAGTAACCTTTAAAATTCCCAAACCAATAAGCAGTATAAATATGGTGTAATATTTCTATATTAGTGTATGGTTAGTAGCTAAGAGAGATGTGTGATGCAAACATGCTTGTAGCCACTCGTTTTTTTTTTCCCTCCACACATGCGAACCGCTGTGACATACCAGAAAAAGATTAGATGTTTGTAATGTAGTAACATGGACAGATCACTGGAGGTTTTACAGGGAGAAGGACTAAGTATAAATAGGTATGAAATAGGATTTTAATAGCTAAATGATATACTAACAGCCAGCTAATTGTTAGAGATAGAGAAGAACAACACGGAAAGGAGACATGAGGAAATAGGCCTTGGCAAAAGAAAGTCAGACGTGAGGAGAGACAGGAGGAGGACACACAAGTCTCCGCCCTCTTCCCTTTACTACTGGAAAAAAAAAGCGGGGCGGAGACGAGGTATTTGGAACGAGATGGCATATAAAAAGTGCTATTGTTAGTCGTGGAACATGGATGTTATTTCACTAAACAAACCAGCACAACTGAAGCACATTAGAAATGCGCTGCTGCAGCCAGGAAAATCTTACCTCCGTCTTTCACCCTCACTGCTGATGCAGAGGGAAACTCTCACAGATATTCTGAGAGAGAGGTGGAGGTATAGGTGAGTGGCAGTTAAGAGTATGAGAAGGTCAAAAATAGTGAGGACTTCAGAATTAATGAGAATGTTTCATGCTTCATATTATTAGACAAATAAGCTTGGCCTTTAAGTCCCGACTGTGGCTTCAGGATAATATTTTCATGACATTTCTTGCCTGTAGAGCACAGATGTGCTGTTCTGTGACGGGTGATGTGATTCATGGGCCAGCTGCATTGTGGGAAGTGTAGTTCAGCAAATGCAGGCTCCTAAAGCAAATGCTGCTGCTTTCAGACAGTGTCACATATCTAGACAGGTTCATAAACCTGCATGTTTTTGGAAGCCGATCCCTTCCACTGCTCTCTTGGGCCAATTAGATCATTTTCTAAGTGTCTTTGGTAAAATGCATCCTTCTTATGATCAGATCCAGTTTTGAGCTAAATCATTTTATTTAACCAACAACTCATCGCAAAACAATTTATCATGTCATATTTTGCAAAACAGCAGACTGACCGCACTTTCACTTGTGTTTCTCAGATCTTTGCTAAAGTCTTCAGTCATGAGGCTCTGGAGAGCTACTTGCCCAAGATCCAGCTGGTCATTCAGGAAAACCTGCGGGTGTGGAGCTCCAATCCTGAGCCCATCAACGTGTACCGTGAGTCCCAGCGGCTCTCCTTCCACATGGCGGTGCGTGTGCTCCTGGGTTTCCGCGTCTCTGAAGAGGAGATGCGCAGTCTTTTCCACACTTTCCAAGATTTTGTGGAGAACGTTTTTAGCCTTCCCATCGACCTGCCGTTTAGTGGTTATAGGAAGGTAAAATGTCAATATGTATTGTCTGAATTGCTTGAAAATAGAGGAATGGATTAGATTGTCTCTGTGTATTAGGTACACAGAGAAGTTTACTAATAAACTTCAATTAATGAACTTGTTTTGCAGGGTATTCGCGCAAGAGACTCACTCCAGAAAAGCATAGAAAAAGCAATCAGAGAGAAACCACTCCACACACAGGGGAAAGATTACACCGATGCTCTTGATGTGCTTCTAGAAAGCGCCAAGGAGAACAACACAGAGCTTACGATGCAGGAGCTGAAGGTGAGTGTAGCACCATTAGCTATGCTTCATATTTTTATGTGCATTTTGGGATATTGCATAAAAAAACGCTAGATGGAAACGGCAAAATGCGCAGAAACATAGCTACAGCTTTGTTCCAAAACATCATTTTAAGGCCTCATATGCACGTTTTCCTTTGTGAAGGCTGTTCCAAACAGAAATCAACAAAATCATAAAAAATCATGATATTTAAAACAAACATAGTGAATAAAACTTCATTGATCAGTTACTGTGAGGTGAGAAAAATGTTAATGATTATAAATATACAGCTATATGATACTGAAACCTATTCATGAATTGTTTCATCGGACTGTTGGTGTTGTTTTTGCTTCATGTCATCAGTGTAGCAACATACTAATGTCAAGTTCCATATGGGAATCAAATTTGAGCTCCTCTTGTGCACTTTGCCTACTGAACGCTATTTGTGTCGTGTGAGAGGGACTGTTAAGATGGTTGTAGTGCATGTAGGGTGTTTTAAGTCAGTCACTAAAGAGTTTCCCTTCTGTTAGAATGCTTTCTCAGAAGGTAGCTGCCTGTAGGCAGTAGAAAGCAATGCAGCTCATTAGATGCTGGAGCCTGTTAAAAAATTGAGTAGCGGCCTAGTCTGCATAATAGTGGACTTCTTTGACACAATGTGCTGTCTCACTACAGTAAAACAGAGATATTATATCACCAAACAAAGACACATTTCAAGACAATTTGAGATGGCATGTCTATTTAATGCTATACATTACATATCCATAAAACTGTTCATGGATTTCACCACACAGTCATCCTTCCAGTCTCTTTCTACTGATCATTTTCTTTTCACCAGATGATTTTGTTTTCAGTGTGAGGTCAACTTGTGATTACTTGATTACATATTAAAGCAAAAAAGGAAGTCAACACTTTGATTTTGAGAGGCTAACAGTGACTCTCTGACAGCACATTTTACCCACTGACTGTTCTCTTTATTTCTCGTCTCTCTCCTGCTCAGTTCTCTTGTGTCATGCCCAAACCGGGATGACAGACATTTAATGATACAGATAATAGTCAATAAATGCTTTCCTGTAGGCTATTGTTGCCTGGTTATTCTGCTCAGCTCAGAGGTTTTAGCTTTTTTCTTTTCTAAGGTACATGTGTAGTCTCCTCAGACAGTGGCGGCAGGAGTGGCTCCCAGGCCTGTCAACACCAACTCACTGGCAAGCAGTTAAAAAGGGAGGGAGAGAGAGAGAAAAAAAGAAACCTGTGTAAGATGGCTGCCAAACCTCAAAGAAAAAAGAAGAGAGAAGGAAAGAAAAGAAATAAAGAAGCTCCGTCCTAAGAATTTAGAAAAAGTCAGACTGCGGTGAAACACTTTAGATTAGGGAACACATATTTACTATAAATTAGGAGTTTTACCTCAATAAACTTATTGATAGTTAGTAACTTAATTGTTGTAGTCGCTATATGGGGTAGAGTTAAGGGATCTAGAATATGGTCATGCAGAATAAGGCATTTATATGCGCTTTATAAGTTTTAATAAACAGTCAATATGCTAGCTAAACAACTAGTGTTCCCTAATTTAAAGTGTTACAACTTTTTTAATCGTTAAAGAACCCTGTACATTTTTGTTTTACAGTTTCCACAAAAATATTTCATTGATAATAAAAAGTGTTCTTGAGCAGCAAATCAGCATAATATAATGATTTCTGATGGATCATGTGATACTGAAGACAAGTAATTATGCTGAAAATTCAGCTTCGGCCTCATTCTTATAATATTTCACAATATTACAGGTTTTTTTTTACTGTATTTTTGATCAAATAAAGGCAGCCGTAGCGAGCATAAAGCTCATTTTAAAAAGCATAAAAAATCCTGCTGTCCCCAAATAGTATCATTGAAGACATTTAACCAATTAAAAATGACAGACATGAGTTTCTGCAAAGTTTTACAACAGCAATCAAACACAAATCATCAATAACTATGTAAATGTGCCAGAAGTGTCAAATATCTTCGTCTAGCTTCCATATATCAGTGTCATTTAGTTGTTACATCAACTTTTCTCTTTCTCCCTCAGGAGTCCACAATTGAGCTGATCTTCGCTGCTTTTGCCACAACAGCCAGCGCCAGCACGTCTCTGATCATGCAACTGTTGAAACACCCTCCAGTGCTGGAGAAGCTGCGTGAGGAGCTGAGGAGTTGCGGTCTGCTGCACGACGGCTGTCTATGCCAGGGTGAACTACGCTTGGACAGCATCTTTAGCCTCAAGTACCTGGACTGCGTGATCAAAGAGGTCCTGCGTCTCTTTGCCCCCGTGTCCGGAGGTTATCGCATTGCCACGCAGACCTTTGAGCTCGATGTGAGTTGTTGTGGATTTGCAGCTACTTTCACCCAAGAATTTACATTTTCTCATCATTTACTTATCCTTATGTCTTTCCTAACATGTATGACTTACTTTCTTCTGTGGGAAACAAAAAAAAAGATGTTTTGAAAAATGTCTCAGTGGTTTGTGTCCATACAATGAAAGTCGAGTGTTGTTTGGACCACGGCGTTCTTTAAAATATCAGAGAAGAAAGTCATACAGGTTTTGTAAATGATGTCAAAATTCTCTTTTTTGGGTGAACAATGTTTGTGACATTTTGTATTGATGTTAATCTAATCAATGCTCATCTATTTTTATCATTCTAACCATTATTTTAGTTTATTTATATACTATTATGTATTAGTGCTGTCAAATCGATTAATCGCATCTAACATAAAAGTTTGTGTATATATAATATGTGTGAGTATATATACATATACCCATATGTATATATACTCACACATATTATATATTCACAAACTTTTATGTTAGATGCAATTAATCACGATTAGTCGGTTTGACAGCAATAGTATTTATTAATATTTTAAATTTTGGCTTTTATTTTATTTTATTTATTTAATAATTTTTTATGTATTTGAATTTTTAGTATTGAAGTTTTAGTTATTTGGTTTTGTTAAACCAAACAAAATTTTTATTTGTCATTATTTTTTTTTTAATATTTCTATTTCTATTTATTTCAGTTTTAGTTTTAGTAATTTTACTACAATTTAAACTTCAATTTATTTCAGTTAGTTGCCAAGACTACATTTTTAAAGTTTTTCCTATATAAATTTATTTTGAATAGTTGTAGCTTTAGTTTTAGTTAACAATAACAACACTTCTTCTAACCTCGTTTTTTGTCCGTCTCTCAGGGTGTACAGGTACCTAAAGGTTGGAGTGTCATGTACAGCATCCGCGACACCCACGACACCTCAGCTGTGTTCAAGGACGTGGAGGCCTTTGACCCAGACCGGTTCAGCCCAGAGCGTAGTGAGGATCGCGAGGGCCGCTTCCACTACCTGCCCTTCGGCGGCGGCGTTCGCTCCTGCCTCGGCAAGCAGCTGGCCACTCTTTTCCTCAAACTCCTGGCCGTGGAGCTGGCTGGAGGGAGTCGCTTCGAGCTGGCCACGCGGACATTCCCACGCTTGATTTCGGTCCCCGTGGTACACCCCACCGATGGCCTTCGTGTAAAATTCTTCGGCCTCGACTCCAACCAGAACCAGATCATGGCCAAGCCGAAAAACATGCTAGATGCCACCGTGTGACAGACTGAGAACTAACAGACTTCATATTTGGAGCTGTCACCTGAAGTTCTGTAAAAGACTCTCATTTGCCAAAAATGTATAGTCTATCATTTGTAAAGAAGTATATCATAAATATATAAATTTAACTGAACGTATTGCTACATCAGGAGAGCACAAGAGGAAGGTTTCCGAAAAGAAGACAGATCCGGAGGGTTAAAGGGACAGTCATATAAGCCGATGTAGATTTCACAGGGTATGGCCAGTTCTGCTTTAACCAGCGCAGGACGGCTCTGGAGGAATCAGTCTTGAAATAGTTTGAGATGAGTGTTTTTTGTTTGTGTGCAAGTGTCTGGATGGTGTGTTCATTTATATGTATATACAGTATGTGTGGTGTGTGTGTGTGTGTAAATACACAACATGTTTTTCTCGTGCAAATGTGTGCGGGTGCCTGTTTGCGTGCGTGGACAGGTTGTTATTCAGCTAAGGTATTAGCAGTTAGAGTAGGCAGTGTAAACTAGAATGAATGGGATGACTGTGTAATTTACTCAGGTGTGTTAGCAGTACAGAAGGAGCTTTCAGACTAACCCAGTACTTGTTATACATGCTCTGTACATAAGTGACAATTCATAATATTCTTTTTAAGAGAGCGTGAAAAGGAGGCGAGAGATGAAGAGAGATATATAACTAGACAGAGATTATGAGAGAAAATTAACCTGTGCAGGCTCTCAAAACAAGCTATAGAGGGAATGAGGGACTCATTCCTGCTGCAAATTTTTATATCTGAAGACATTTATGAAAAAAAAGTCTGTCGTAAACTGTCGTATATGCTGCTTTGGGAGTCGCTTTTTATTTATATGATGGAGCAGAGTGCCAACTGACCTCTGCTGCTCCACATCAATATATGAAGAAATTATACTGAACATGCAGTAGATGATGGTGGAACGGAGTGGACAATCATCAGTCATTAACTCAATAAACCACCAATCAGGAGAGTTTCTTGAGATGCCTCTGAAGGGACTTTAAAAGCGGTTGAGTGAGAGGCAATAGGATTCCCCAGTGCGGGTTCTTCTTTCACTTCCTCCACAGGCCACGCAAAGGACTTTTCTTTGATAAAATATGCCACTGATCTTTTTTTTAATGAATTAATGAATGGATGAATTAAAATAATGTCTGCTGCTTTCAGTGTACCATTTTTCGAACAGAGAGTAGATCGCTACCTTCAGCTACAGTTTTGCTATTTCTAAGCAAATGTGAGTGCACAAGGAATTTCACCAATTAGAAAGCCATGGGTAAAGCATATTTGCATTGTCTAATATCCTAATATTCTTGCTATTAATATTATTATTGTAATAAATCTTATTTTAAGTGCTATTTTTGTTATATTTCAGAATAGAGTTCTAGTATAAGTAAAGTCTGTTGGTAAATACTGTTCTATTTAGAATGATATGGATTTCAGTTATACTATATTGTACACTGTTTAAATGTTAATATGTTTTTTTATGTTATTGTAATAATTATAATTTTTGGTTATCATTATTATCATTGCATTTAGTTAATATTAATAAACAGAAGCACTTGCGAGGTATGTTTATTTTGAGTGCCATTTGACTACATGTTCTGATTGTTGAGTTTGTCTGTACATATATTTTATTCCTTTTTACAAATCCACATTTCACTTAGTTCAAATATGAATGTTTCCCCCTTTTTTTGTTACAGTGATTCTTAAATGTACTTGGTAATTTTATAAACCCTTGTAATAAACTATAATGTGAAAATCAGTCATTCAGTTCGAAATTCTTTCCTATGATCCTGCCTTAACAACATTAACAACTTCCTTTGCCACTTAGTCTCAAGGGTGTCTGGATGTGTTTTGAACATGATTTTTAAAATTATGGCTAAATATTTTAATTGTTAACCACATGCAAGTCTGTTTTACATCACCTAGGAACCACAGTATATCCCTTTGATGTTTGCAGTCATATTGTGTGAAGGGAAAAGAAAGCTGATCTCTTTGATGTTCACCCTTTTTGATGTGTTGATTCTTGATGCTCAGACCTTAGTGTTTGTATATATACACGGTAAATATACGATGAAGCAACAATACTATACACTGTAAAGTAACCACATACATCCTCAAGTTTTCACCAATACTTACAGTAGTGATATGGAGACACACACACATGCACACTGCAGACAATTCAACAAACAACAGCTTTATTCAATAGACGCCAGATGTGTTGACCAGCATTCACTTCAAAGAGCTGCCTTAGCACACAAAAAAACATCCTCACCATGTTCTCATTTTTGCTTTGGAGTCTTGCTTATTCATTTATGGCTTTCTTTGTTTTTCAAAAATGTTGTTTAGTTATTATCCAAGTATGCCCTGACAGCATTCTAGAAGTTGTTCATTAGATACTCTGCATGAAAGGACAATGCCTTAATTTCAATATGTCAGATTTTCTTTGAATAGCGCTTTATTAATATTTAATGACAGTGACCCATGTTGTAAGTGAAAGCAGGAACATCTGGACAACCTGGATCACAAGAAAGGTTTCTCATTAGAGATAACTAATGGGGTCACTTCCTTTTCCCTTTATCTGATAACTTAATCAATACTGAAATTCAGATCAATGGTGATGAGATATTTACTCCATGACATAAAAAACAAAAAGGTCAGAGATCAATAGAAGACATAATAGAAGTAAAAACTGTATTGACTGTATACGATTTTTATTAATGCAAATATTTTGAGCATGATTACCATTGAAGAAATGTATAATAGTCTTGGTGGCCACTGACCATTCCCCTACTGTAGCCAGGTGTTGTGTGATCTGGGTCCTCCTTTATAAAACGTGCGTACGCACAGATCTGAACTCAGAGTGTGGGTACGCTAAAATCCACGCCAATGTTCATATTTATTAAAACGGACTTTGACGTGGAAAAGTGCTTAGTGTCACATCAGGGTCTGAGCAGATGTAGCCTACGCATTTTTCCTTCCGGCAGAAAGTCGGAGTACTACTGTAGTTATTTGAAAATCTAAGGATTTGGATGTTGTTGACTGCTGGTGCTCTGTTATATGCCAATTACATTAATTAGGCGACGTTTACAAAGCGGAGATCGGAAACCATTCAGCTGCACACAATTTCAAGATCAATTGCAATTTATAACTTTCACTTCTGGAAGAGAAGTGTACGCACGCGTTTTTTGTCCGTAGTAAATCACACGTATGCACATTTGAAAAATTATTGTAAGATCAAATGTAAGGCGGTTTCGACACAACATTTTATTAACTAATTCAAGAACATTCGCGATTTTTAGATCTCACATCTAGAGGCGTGCGCAGTTTTTTTTTTGTGTGTGTAAGTTCATTCTCTGAAATACAAGTAAGCACACTTGAGAAGTGATACGATACCAAATCAGAAAGCGAGCTGATGAAAGACGGAAGCATAACCCCCCCCCCCACACCCCACACCCCACACCCCACACCCCACACCCCACACCCCACACACCCCACACCCCACACACACACTCACATTTTCTGTAAAAAGCAGTCCAAACACTATTATAGCATGTTTGTTTACTCTAAAGTCACGTTTGACAGCGAGAGATTTGGGGAGATTTACAGTTCACAGTCGAGAATCTGTTTGTGTGTGGTGTGCTGTCTTGGTCACATCGTGGCACTCCACACACTATAGGAACAAAACTGTTAAATCTATGAATTAAAAAAAAAAAATCGTTATGTTTGTGGTCTCTTACATTTTGAAAATCTGATAGGATTTTACATATCTTTTAGTGTGGGCCAACCTTTACCCTCTTCGTCTTATCTGCTCTGATGCAGAACAATGGGTTCCTTTCAGTTTTCCACCCTCCTTTCCCAACCCTCCCAGGAATCCACATTTCCAACCACAATGTCTGTGAGTACGCCTGGGAGCAGATATTGGGAGGACATGAAGATGCTTCCAGGATTCTTGGGCTTTCTCATTGTTCTCAAGGGAGAACACTTTGAGACATCCATGATAACTACTGAGACTGCTCTGAGCTAGCCATCCCTCTTCCCCACAACATTTTTGATGAGCACTCAAGATGTTCCCATTCCATTTGCACGTTTTCATGGATGAAACGAAGGACCCAAGCACATTTAAACAGTTTCAGCAAGTAGATTTGGACTACATTTGGGTACGAAAGGCTGTCAGTTGGAAAAGCACATGTCTGGAGTTCATACAGACACTGAGCAGATTTGGGTTTCAAAAGCTGGTCGGATTGGATCTTTTGTTAACTGCAGATGACAGAACAATTACGATAATAAAGTTGACCATTGCACATTCTCATCATTGCTGCATAGTTAAATCTTGAAGATTATATTTGTCTGTCAATATAGGCAAACATTGAAAATAAGACTTGAAGTGCAAGTGGACATGAGTTACGTGTCAAAACACTTTTCATAACTGATTCTTGCATCACAACTCTTGAGAAAATCGATTTATCCAGTTATTCATTTTCAGATAAGTTTCTTTTTCATTCTGGCCGTCTCTATATTCATGGCAAGAGAGCTCATGCTTTTACATTTTTGAGGTTGTTTAGCATAAAATTTGTGATGGGAACAACCCCTGGCTTGCCAAAGAAGTACACTAACATTGGGAGCAACGTGTATCGTTACAAAGTCACGGCGATGCACGCTTTCAATTTGTGGGTAATTGCTACAAGCTGATTTGGGGTTTAAAACTTTCAGCTCAGAAACCAGGATAGAGTGATGACAGGACATGCTTGGTCCACGTTTGGTCATAGAACTACAATCAATCCAAAACCTGCAAAACAACAGGCATTCGGTGGGTTTGGACCAAGGTAAGTATACTTGCATTGGAGGAGATCAACATCTCTTTAGGAGAAACACTATATGAGATCATACACCTGACTATCTTAAACAGCAAATTTGATTTGGCTGAGGGAGTTTGGGATAGCTGAATCAGATGTGGTTTGGAGAATCAAAATTTAATTCAGAACAGCATCTGTCAAGCAGGGAGATTTTATGTGGGGTGTTCCTTTAATACTAGTGGTTCAATCTTTCATCTTTTGTTTTTTGATTCTTTAAACCGAACCATATTAACTTCCCTTCTAATTTTCAGTCTGAATTCACAAAGCCCTCATTGTGCTCTGGGTCTGGCTAACAGAATGTAGAACAAGAGAGAGTGTACATGTCTGTGTGTGACTGCATTCAGACTTTCATTCTGGCTTGTTTATGAACAATGACCTTTCTGGGGAGAGCTTCACACCATGTCCAGACGTTTCAGTGAATGGCCATCTATGTGTCTGTTCAATCGGGTACAGTTTTTTGGGAATAATGATTGGAAATTCACAGCATGATTCATTGACACAGCAGGGTCAAGTTGGAGACTAAAATAAACTCTGGTCTGACACTGCTTAGATATTCCAGATAAAAATAATACTCAAGTCTTTCCCATAAGTACATTTTCCTCTTCAGGTATAAAGCAGGACGATGGTGATTCAAAGAGTTTTGCAAGAGGTGTAGGTGGAATTTTGACATAAACATACGGGTGGAAATGGAGCAACTTTCTAAAGGTTAGATCTGGATGATTGCATTGATCACTGTTCTAGGGGAAAAAAAAACACTCACAGATGAGGAATGAAATCCATATCATAAACATTTAGAATTTAAAATAATGCTGTTTAAATTCTTGGAGCCCAAAGCACTTGAATGAACGAGGAAATGCAAAACCATGATATTGTAGAAGAAGAAAATGACTGGTTAGAAGATGAGGACAACTTAAAACCACAATGTAAAAGAAAATGCTATGAGGTTCCAGTGAGTGATACTCATCTTCAATAACCACAGGATTCAAATTTGTTCCATATGAAAATTATTCAGTTCATTACATAATTTTATTTGTCTGCTGCTTCAGATTATTTGCTGCTCAAACTGAGATACTATTTCACGCAAATCTATTTAAAAAGAACTGTCATACACAATGTTTACAGCACAGTCAAGTAAAAACATACTAATATTCCAGCCATATTTAGAACAGTATGCCATTTCATTTTAATATTTATTTATTTTAAGTAATGCAGCTGAAAAGGTCTGTTTCGATCTCTAAACGTCACAGTGTTTGCTTCACTGCATCACTCTCAGTTCCGCAGTGTTCCTGTAGAATAAACAAAATCTCTTCTCAGGACATGCCTGGTCATATCAACTTGTTTATTTTCCACTTTCTGTTTGTACCTTTTTTATTTCAAGAATTTAGCGTTAAGTTTGTCAAAAACCACATAAGACAAAATCTGTGGGCAAATGTTGCAGATGTATGGTCCAAGCTGGAGGAGATCTAAAGCATGTACTGCCAGCGAAATGAGAACGTTGAAAGAGGGTTGCTTTATTTTTCAGGCTCAAATTACGTTGCAACTTTGAGTGGAAATCAATCTTTAATTTTTTTCTCTCTCAATAGTTAGCCACTGGAAAAAACACTGACCAATGAGAAGCATAATTCTGATGAAATTATATTGAAAAGATGAAAATATTTTATTTATTTGAAGGATACACACACACCCCCGGTTTCACAGACGAGGCTTAAAGCAATAGTCCCAGACTAAAATGCATATTTGAGCTGTTTTAACTGAAATCAACTTACACTGGCATATCTTAAAATATGTCAATGCCATTGTCTTGTCTCAAGATGCACACCAGTAATGCTTTTTTCTGAGGCATGTATAAAAGCTACTTAAATGTCCTAACTGAGCTAAGGCCTAATCATGGCTTAATCTAAGCCCT